TCAGGTATATAGACTGTCTAAAATAAAAGTAAAAATTAATACAAATATGAGAAATTCTTACAAATTAAAATAGTGCACGTCCAGGCCCTTAGATCAGTCATCCACATGCTCCTCACACAGTTAGCATTTATGGAGCTCAGGATCTTAGCATCAGGTAGTGGGACAGGAACCAGTTGGAATGATTCCCAAGTGACCCTAGTGGGGTGCGTATGAGCACAGAGAGATTTTCGTTTGTTTGTTTTGTTTAAAACATGTCTGGATTTCCCAGAGCTGTGATGATTATTCTAGTCGCCTTTCCCAGGGATTTTTATCTTATTTCCTGGTCCAAAGAAGACAGATCTTAGGAGCACACAAAAGGGAAGAATGCCCTGGGGCTACAGGGAGGGAAGGTAACTTTAATGCTCTTTGCCCACAGAGCAGAGCATGCAGAAGGCTTGGGTGAATGCCCCGGCTGCTGGTACAGATGAAAAGCCAGGCATGACTTGATCAAAGCAACTGTTGGGGCTGAACATTGAAGGGACTGTCCTACCTTCGAAGGGAGACTTCGGGCAATTTCTCATCAGCTGGTCATTACAGGAACCCGAGGAAAATCTTAAGATAAGAAATGCCTGCCCCTCCCATGGAAGGAGCTTGTGTGCACATCCCCCGGGCTCTAACTGCCAAACCTAGGTTGACCGCCTCCAATTCGGATCACCCTCTGTCCAAGGTCCAGAGCAGACTGCTCTTGGGTGTTTACGGGCCCCATGCTGTCTCCTTACTTGAATAAGAGGGAGAACGAGGCAGTGGAAAAGAGTTTAAACAGAGCCCAGGAGTTGGGGCCTCTAAGGAGGTGTCCCTTCAACCACGCAACCAATTCCCCAAGCTGCTTCCCAGACCCTGCTTTTGGGTCTGGCACCCCTCGCTGTCTCCATTCTTCCTCTTTGCTTGTTTCCAGGAAAGACGGGCAGGCGCGTAACACCTCAGCACTCCTTCAGTGGGTAGCTAGGCAAATGAGGTCAGCCTGTGCCTGCATTTAAATCAAGCTCAGCACCTTGGTATGTAAAAGCAGAGCGGAGCCTAGCTGTCACACTATTTTTTTTCCCTACCACTCCTGTTTTAGACACAGACATGGAAACCCCAGAAAGTGGCAAGACTTTCTCATCCTAACATAGGTAGTTGTGCCACAAAAGGCACAAAATGTGACGCTCTTTGCCCATTTGCCCACCCCATAAACATGTTATGATCTTAGAAGCAGTGGACACTGTGCTAGAGATGAATGTACGGCTCTCTTCTGTAGACGTGCAGTTTGCGGAGAGGAGGCAGACACCGTGTGGCAGGGCGCTCGCAGGAAGCTCCCTTCCAGCAGAGGGGCGGACGAGTGTCTCATTCCTGGTTCGCCAGCTCGGTCCCAAGGCAGTGGTCTTGACGTAGCAGAGTCAGGCCGTGCAGCCCGTGTTCCCTATCCGGTGGACGGCTTTCATTTCTGTGGATGAGAACCGTCCTAGAAAAGATGCCGTTTACCAGTTGTGGAGGTTTTTCTTGGGAGAGGGCGCTAGGGTGCAGGAAGCTTACCTACGGAGGCTGTGAGGTGCAGAGTAAGTCTCAGGCTTTTGTGTCCATAATTTGCAGCCAAGACATTCTTAGACATGAATTTTGCATAAAAACTGCCTCCTCTTAATAGAATGTATGTTATATGAAAGTAGAAGGAGCGGCCGTTTGGTGAGAGGAAGGAGATTAGGACACACGGGTAAGGGAGGAGACTGGTGTGTGTGGTAGAGTGCATGGATATCTATGTATAAAAACGTCACAATGGAAATAGTACTTTGAACAATAATTAAAAATTAATAATACCCTTTCCCCATGCTGTTTTAAATCTAGAAAAGCCAGAAAACCCTAGTTGTAGGAGTGGCTGAGAACTGGTGCTGAGGGCATTGGTCTTTCTGATTACACTTTTAAGTGTCCCATGCTTTCACATGGACATCCATGCATTTCAGTTTAATGTAAATTGAGCGTGATGGGCCCTTAGCCCTTCTTATGGCATGGTCTCCATCCCAGGGGCAGTAGCCACTGAGCTATCCCTCCAGTCCCAGACTGGGCAAATTTTTAAACAACACTGGGATTCGTTAGACAGAAAGAGAAGGAAGCCTAGTTTTCCATGCTAACTCAGAGCACCCTACGTAAAACTGCATAGTGCCCATCTTCTAAACACCGAGTCTATTTATTTTTAGTTGTCAATCTGCATCTACCAGATGTAAACTCCACAAGAGCAAGAATTTAAACTTTAAACATAAATATCCACAAATATATACAAAAATGAGAAAGGATAATGGATCCCACTATACTCATTGTGTAAGTTATTTTTGTTTCTGTGCCAAGACACTATGACCAAGGCAACCTTCAGAAGAAAGAGTGTGTTGGGGACTTAGAGTTTCAGGACCTTAGAGTCTGTGACATCGTGGTGGGGACATAGCAGCAGGCAAGCAGGCAATGGAGCTCACACAGAGGCAGAGATGAGAGAGACAGAGAGAGAAAGAGAGCTGGGAATGGTGCCCACTACTAGTGACACACCTCCTAATCCTTCCCAAACAGTTCCACCAACTGGGTGGTGTAGGAGGGCCTTCTTTCTATGTGTTGCTTGTATTGGTTAATGAATAAAGAAACTGCTTTGGCCTGATAGATCAGAACTTAGGTAGGTGGGGAAGACAGACCTGAATTTTGGGAGAAAGAAAGCAGAGTCGGAGAGATGCCATGGATCCTCTGCCTGAGATGGATGCTGGTTAGAATCTTTCCTGGTAAGCCACTGCCACGTGGCAATATACAAACTGATAGAAATGGGTTAAATGAAGATGTGAGAGTTAGCCAATAAGAGGTTAGAGATAATGGGCCAAGCAGTAACTTAACTAATACAATTTCTGTGTGGTTATTTCAGGGCTAAGTTAACTGGGTGGCCGGGAAGAACAAGTGGCCTGCTCCCATACAACAATTGGTGCCCAGTGTGGGGTTAAATCCACTTAAAAACCTGAGAGAGCTTAATTTTAAATACACACAAACAGAGTTTGACACAGCTTTTTGCTGTTTACTGGTGGCTTGCTGCAGCTCCTTTAAGAGAGACTTTCCTGACTCATTGGGGAAAAAAAGCCGTGCTGTTTTAAAGGCTGCCTTTCTGGGCTATGCTGTTAGTGCGACCTCGGTCTCTTGCGAGAGACAGAGATTTGGATGGGGTTTGTGAGTGAAGTGCTACGGCTGGCTTGGTGACAACGTGGACTTGCTGTGTGCCCGGAAGTGGGGCAATGCACGCGGCTCAGAGGCACAAGCGGCTCCTTCATGCTAAACTGTGCAGAGCGTGGGCAGAAACTACTGTATTTATCATAATAATAGCGCAGCTGAAGTTTTAAACTGGACAGGCAAACAGGCAGTACTGTATTGGACCTTTAGTAATATTGCAGCTTAGATTCTTAAGTGCTTATGAGGCTATAGGGGCCATTTTCATTCAAATGACCACATTTACCTTCCTAAAACTAACATCACAGACTGGAGTATATCTCAGTGGCAAAGGAAGTGGTCAGTGTGTACAATGCTCTTAATCTTTAGCCCCAACCCCAGCAGACTCTTTTTCTCTCTCTCTCTCCTCCCCCTCTCTTTCTCTTCCTCTTTCACACACATATGCTTAAACATTTGCATAAACACACTAACACGCTCTCACACACAAATAATCTCACATAATACACACATTCACAGACATCACACACATTTACAGTCACACATACAGATACATACAATCACATACACATTCACACAATGTCACACATACATGTTTTCACTTATATACACATTGAACTTCACATACGTTTAGTCATACGCACACATGTACACTTACACAATCACACACACATTCTCACACCCATACATCCACACATTCAGACACACATATACGCATACACTTACGCATGTTCATTCACACACTCGAGCTAAAGGCTCAGTGTCAGAGCAAGCCTAAACCAAGCGCTGTTGCCTCTCTCTGCATCCATTCAGTAGATTTCCTGAGGTGGAGAGGGGCAGTTTTTCCTCTTCTCTCAGTATCTGAAAGCACTTGCCTTAGTGAGTTCTCATTCACTAATTTCCATGTGGAAGCTGATGGGTGATTTGTGTTTTGCTGGTTTTAACACCTGATGTGTTTTAAAAACTCAGCAGAATCTGGGAACTATTACTACACTCTTCAGAAGCTAGGACTTCAGCTAGTGAATGTTCAGTCAAGAGAACTGATCTTACCCAGCCCAAGATGCCATCTAGGAATAAAATGTGCGGACACAGGAGTCTGGCAGGATGAAGCTATGCTTTGGTTTTATGTCTCTATCAAGACCTGTCTGGAACTTACATCCCTACTAATGGAGTAAAAATATCAGCTCTTTCACAGATTATAGTGAGGACTGATTGATAACGGATGCTGGACAGTGCTGTGGCTGGCATACATCAGAATGAAATTCTTTCAAAGGTTCCCCCACCGTTTAATGAGAACCTCTCCAGGACTGCCTCCCCTGTCTGTATCACATTGAAGGCAAAGCCTCTTCCTCCCCAAAGGCACCCAAGCACACTGTTCCCCGCACCCTCCCTTTCTGATCCTTCCTCCTTTGCCCTCCCCACAGTTGGCTCCTTACCAGTTCTTGTCTGGGGACTGAGAGACGCAAAGGATTTCCTCACATAGATGATTAAAAGGGCATGTTACCTGTGAGAGCAAGAGCAAGGAGGGCAGGTGAGAGGGGCTCGCACAGACTGGAGGAGAATCCACAGGGGAAGGGATCTGAAAGAGCAGATTACAGTTGGCAGTGGACCTGGGTGGAAAGGAAGCAGTTGAGCAATAGGAACAGGGCTTTCTAAGGGCAGCGGGGTGTGCGTGGCCAGTGCGATCTTAAGTAGCAGAAAGGGATAATGCATCCTGGTCGTCTCTCATTCCCTATGCTCCTTCCTGTTCCCTTTGCTTACAAGGAGTTGAAGTCAGAGATGTGAAGGGGCTCTTGCCCTTGATGGTGCTAATGGTGATTGTCTTCTTGCTGCTCGTGCTCTGGGAAAACGAGCTGACCGGGGACGTCATGCTGACATCCATAGAGCATTTGCACGTAGACTACCCTCAGAACACGGTCCCCCGGCGGTACTGCAACTATATGATCCTGCAGAGAGTCATCCGGGAACCCGACCACACGTGCACAAAGCTGCACGTCTTCATCCACGAGAGGCCGCAGAAAATCAACAGCGTCTGCACGTCCTCCAAGAAGAAGAGCTGCCCAAACTACTCGGAGGTTTTCTGCTTCCAGAGTGAGACGAGATTCAGAATGACAGTCTGTCAGCTCATTGACGACGGCACCAAATACCCTGCTTGTAGGTACCACATCTCCCCTATAGAGGGGTTCATCCTTGTCACCTGTGATGACTTAGGACCGGTTAATTTTCAGGGGTATGTTGAATGACTTGCCAGCTCACAGAGGGTGTGAACTTCTCTCTGGTTAACCTGAACTGTGGATACGGTGTAAGGCTGTGAGAGGAATATCGAGGGGTGGGGGTCCTTCTAGTGTGGATGAAGTGCAGCCATTGCTTCTGTGTCAATAAAAACATATTTGATGAATTAAACCACAAACCACACACGTGTTTAGTCTTTGCTCCTTGTCTTTGAGTCATTTGCTGGGAATCAGCAGGAGTCTGAGGAAGGACTGGGACTAAGAGTGAGAGTCACTTAGTTGGGACACTCAAGGACCACTGGCCACACCAAACAACCAAACCCCAATGATTAATCTACATAAGCAAGTCAACATCCTAAAGTATCAAAACCATGGCAACATTCTTTTTGTGTAAAATATCTTTATCTCAAATATCCAGTGTGACAGGACAGGATGGGGTGGAAGGGGGATGGGAGTTTATCAGCACCATACTGGGAGAATCAGATCATGTTGCTTCAAATTTTATTTTGTGCAGGAACGATTATATGCCATGAATTTTTTTTTGGGGGGGGGGGGAAGACGTTTGAGACAGGGTTTCTCTGTAGCTTTGGAGCCTGTTCTGGAACTAACTCTTGTAGACCAGGCTGGACTCAAACTCACAGAGATCCGCTTGCCTCTGCCTCCCAAGTGCTGAGATTAAAGGCGTGAGCCACCACTGCCCTGCCTACACCATTAATTTTTAATTATGTTTTTATTTATTCTTTAAGGATTTTATATTATGTTTGTTTGTTTAAGACAGCATCTTATTTTGTAGCCCTGAGTGGCCTGGAATTCACTATGTAGGACACACTGGCCTCAAGCTCACCAAGATCTGCCCACCTCTGCCTCCCAAGGATTGGGCTTAAAGGCATGCACCACAATGCCTGGCTCATGTAATATATTTTTATTCCCCTCCTCAGCTCTTTTCTGGTTCCTTCTGATGTCCTTGCCTAGCCCTCAATACCGAGTGATCAGCCCTGAAACTATATAGACACAAACAGCAAAAATGACTTAGCAGGATATAAATAAAATAGTTTAGCTTATATATAGTTTATATATATGCAACAGTAATTACAAAAGAAAAAGAGACTATCAATTTGAGAATGAGGGAACAAGGGAGGGGCATGGGAGGGGCTGAAGGAAAGGGAAGAAAGGGGAAAGTGACATAATTCTGTTTTAATTAAAAATTAATTTAAAATATCAGCTTCATGTTCTTTGTCTCTCAAAAAAATAAAACAAAACAAAAACCCAAACCATGGCGTCTGATTCAGGCTGGTCAGTTATTGCCAAGCCTGAGGCCTGTCCTGAGGTACGGCTGTTAACCCAGTGCCTCCATTAAAGAAAGCCAATTTTTCCTCTTCCATCACCTGTCAATTAGTAGATTATTTGTGTGTGTGGCACATTTATGCGATGCCCATAGAGATGAAAAGGGACACCTGACTCCCTAACACTGGAGTGACAGTTGTGAGACTCTGTGAGTTCTGAGAACTGAACCTCGCTCTCTGCTGGTGGAGAAAGTGTTAATGACTTTGGAGCCATCTCTCCAGACCTCAGTTTATTTTTGAAAGGAAAAGCAGTTGCAGTCACTTCTTAGGGACTTTTCTCCTCTAATATACATACTCTAAATTTCTTGTCTGAGAAACTTATACATATTACATTGTGTTTTGATCAAATCCACCCAACTCCCTCTCCTCCAGCTCCTCTCCTACCCTACATCTCCACCCACAACTTCATTCTTTCCTTTTTGACCCAGAGCTTACTTTCCTGTGTACCTCAGACTTTACTGGGCATCTGAGTGACCCTGAGTTTGGAACCACCCATCCGAGCCTGAACCCGTGGGCTCCCAAGGTCAGCAATGTGTGGGACGGCCCCTCCACCGCTGACTGTTAAGAGGACAAGGATGCCAAGCTGCTGTGGGTTCATGGTTGCCATAGCCAACCTGTGCATAGAAGATGGTATTTGGTGGCCCCTCTCCCTATCATATGGCTCCTAGACTCTTTCTGACTCCTTTTCACAATGTTGAGTGATAGAAATGTCTTGCCTAGAGAAGAGCAGTCCTTACTCCTAGCGTCTTATTCAGCCACAAGTATTTTCATTTGTCTTTGTTCACTGCAAGGAGTGAACACAACCTTTGTTTACAGCCTTTGTCTGTAGGTACAAACACAGTGTTCAGAGGGTGCTTGATGTTTTGTCAGTTCAGCTAAGTGGCCATATTAGGTTCCCCTCCATGGTCTAAGACCTTTTCAGTTATGGTTTATCGTATCAGGCAAGCCCAAATCCAATTAGGAAGCAGTGGGTCACCCTGTAACAGGCGCACCCCTATTGCACCAGTAGACACATCTTGTACGGTAGGTTGGTATTACAGCTCACATCTCACATCTGTGTTAAGTCATGAACACTTTTACCCCACAGCGCCCTGCACAGCACTGTGTGGCATGGTGAGAGCCAGCCAGCAGGGAAGAACCTTCCAATCTGTTCCCCCTTAGTTTCTCTACAACGTCCATCCAGGGTGTGTACTGTTTACAGCAGTGGGTAACCAAGAGAAATGACTGGAGCGTATATTCTGTGTGGGTGGGTACTTCTGAGGTCTTAAAAACTTTTCTAAAGATAGATTATATGGCTTATACTGCATTTGTTCCTGCTCATCAGGTCCCCCGTGTCGCTAGAGAAAAGGAGGTCAGAAGGCGCCTGGGTGGTCAGAAACCAGTTCCCGTGAAGGCTGTGCAGATACCAATGTCCCAAGGAAGGACTGAACCTCTCTGAGCCAATGCTTTTCCTTTTCAGAATTCCGAAGGAAACAGAGGGGGCTTTGGACCAGACTGCCAACTCCTTCTCCCTTTGGTTCTTACGTTTAAATTCAGTATGTAGGTGCCCCATGTTCAAGTATGGACATGGTAACCTTACAGTCAGAGGGAGCAGAAGACAAATAGAGTCACCTAATTCTGGAAATTTGAATCAGTTCTCCATCATTAGTTTCTGTCATTGGTCTTCTCGTTGTTAGGTTTTCCATCTGTAAAGGTAAACGCTGAGGTTGTTTCCGAGTCTGTCTTACAACTCTATTTCCTAGCGGCATTGCTCGAGGGAAGGCTTGGGGTTGGGGAGCAGTAGAAACAGGAGGGGCCATTAATTTTGAGCGATGCAGTCCAGGGCTGTATGTGAGAAGCAAGACTCAGACAGGTGAGGGGGCCAGAGCAGGGCGAAGGCCTCCCGAACTTTGAAGAGCTTGTTCTGTCCTGATCTTCTCAGTTGAGAGACTTCAGCTGTGGCCCAGTCACTGGCCTTGAGGTCTCATCAGAAGAGCAGGTACATCTCTGTGGGCGGCCAATTCTGCCTTCTCAAGACATTAAATTATAACCAACTAGGTAGGCTGACGGGGAAGAGGGAGATCACCCCAAGTGAAGCAAATGTCACAGCTCGTAAGTCAGAAGCTGTCTCTGGGCTTCTCCCACACAGGGCAGGCAGCTCTTCTCCAGATGAATATTATTGTCTATTTTTCTGTTGGAATCCCATCCTTTGTGTTGTCTTGTGGAGCTTTGGGTGCTACCAAGTGGGCAGAACACAGTGTTTGACTAGAAAGCGAGCAGAGAGCTCAGTGAATAGAAAACAGGCAGAGAGCCCAGTGTCTGACTAGAAAGCGGGCAGAGAGCTCAGTGAATAGAAAGTGAACAAGCAGTTCAGGTCAGGTACACAAGGCTGGCCTCCCTGAAGCAGATAGAGTGGTCCTTGCTTGTATGACTATCTTATTGAGAGCAATCCAACTTTCTTTTCTTCTTTTTTTTTCTGCAGCTTTAGAAAGAGGTGAAAGTACCTGTATTTTTAATAATTTCTTGACATGGTAAAAGAATTTTACATTACAATCTAAGGTTGGTAGGGTGAGGAGGGGCAGTGGAACAGTCAAACAAAAAGGGAAGCTGAGAAACACATGGTGGAAGGGATCTGAGGGGTGGGGAGGAGCACTGCCCAACTGAAGTGCAATTGGTTTGTTACTGAGCACTATCCATGGGAAGAGAGCATCCTGACTCCGTTTCTATAGAATACTGGGAGTGAAGTGATGCATCCCAGGTGGAATATGATTGGGAGTTGGAAGACAGAGAGGAGTAAAGGCCAAACAGACATCGAGAGTCACTAGCAAGTTAACTGCAGATACCAACTCTCACTTAAAAAGCTGGGGGCTGATGGGGTTAACACAAAAGCTGTAACAAGTGAGATCTGGAAGATTCGAAAGAGGCAGCTCTTCTATGGGTCTGACCTTCGCAGCGTATTTATACACACACACATACACACACACACGGCACACACACACACACGAACACACACACACACACACACACACACACACACATACACACGGGCACATGTGTATGTGCACAGATACATATACACATGAATTACTGCTTTCCCTGGAAGCACAGTACTATAAATATGAGAAATATTTCCCGAAGGGAAAGCACAGCGAGGAGCAGCAGCCTCTGGACCTCACAGCTGCCCACACCCTAGCCAATGCACAAGCTGGCCTGGGACACGGCAAGTGAGGGCCAGAGGGGTCAGCTCTGCATAACACCAAAGAACCTGAGTCACAGAGGTAAGGCCTTCATGAGCCCTCTGCTCCTCGGCTCTCAGTTCTCCTTCACCTTCCCTGGGCACCAGCGGCTACATTATCAGAACAGAGGGTGGGTCTGGGACTTGCCTGGGTGGATGACTAAGACAACTGTCACCTGCTGAGGTGTTACGTGTGTGACAGGGACTGAGGGGGTAGTGGTGCAGGAAGGAAGGCTACGTTCTATAATGGAGCAGGAAGCATGTATACATGTCCCTATGTGTGTGTACAAGTGTACACAGTATCTGTGAAAACCCCAGTTATAAAAGCATCCAGAGGAGCTCTAGGGATGCAGCTGAAGGACTGAGGTATCTCTCGTCACGGTCAGGTTCAAGGAGGGGTAGACACAGGTGGAGAGCCCCAGGGCATCGCCAGGGCAGCTGCAGTAGGGGGGACCCAAAGTCCCACAGAAGCAAGAGACACTGGCCTTGTGACAGGAAGATGTCCCTTCCACCTCCACTCCCCCAGTTCCTAAAAAACACCTAACACTTCCCCTACAGTTCCTCCAGCTTTTAACACAAAACTTAAAACAAGGGGAGGAGGAAGGGAAGGGAAGAAAAAACAAAAATCCCACAATTATTCTTGTGCCAATATCTCGCACAAACCTGGAGTTCTCCAGAAATTAGGACAGGCTGGGTGTGGGGTTTGGGGAAGGAGATAGAAGAGTTCCTGAGGCCTGAAAAAAGAGGTAAACACATCACAGAATTAGATGAGAGTTTCATTAGACTCTAACTAAAAACAGAGAGGTGTGGTTACTATTTCCAGCCAGTTTCCCCATCACGATAGTCATGTAACAAACCAAGGCAATGTCGGTCTTGAGCCAGACTCACAGAGTCCCCTGGCCCTGGCCCTGGCCCTGGCCTCAGTACAGTGTCTCTGCATTGCTGCTCCGGGGCCGTTTGATTTTCTCAATATTCTTCAGGATCATGTCATGTAGAGTGACATACTGATTCCTTAGTTCTGAAATGATGAGACGGAGGCTGATGTATTCTTTCTCACCAATCTCTGTGGCAGTGTGGCGATAGTCCACCACATGGGGATATTAAGCTATTTTAGAAACCAATTTGGCTCTTATAATATAGTATCTAGAAATCTGGTCCAGATAAAATGCAGCTTCACTGTCGACAGTTCTTAGTTCTGCAACTGCTTTCTCCTGAATAGACACCCCAAAGTTGTTTCCATCTCCTATTCTGGGAATCAAGAGCTGTACCCACATTTTGACCGTGTTACATTTCTCGATCAGCAGCCGAATCTCAGGTTTTACTTTCTCAATAATGTCCACCAGCTGCTGGTTGCTTTTCAACATCCCGTTGGGCATCACAAACACCTTGGTTCCTTGGAAGGCCTCTTCACATTCATCCAACCTGCGCTTCTTGTAAGTGGGACCACCCAGTCCATCGTGGCTGTTGGTGAGGAGAATGGGGTCAGGGACTGGGAGATTCATGTCTGAGTGGATCTGAGTTAGGTCATGGATATTTAGGATTGGTTCCTTCAAAAAACTATCAAGTTCTAGTAACTTCTTTGGGAAAAAATTTGCCACCAAGTCTTCTGCCTCACTTGTGATCCGCTCCCTGAAAGAATCAACCTTGAGCTTCACTTCCTGATCCACCTTCAGCAACGAGGCCATGGCGGGCAGGACCATGTCGGCTCTGCTGGGTGCTGGAGGTGCTGTGAACTCCGGGGAGGGCGCCGGAGGGGCCTGAGGAATCTCCACTGCCCTCGGGACCCAGCCGCCCTCGCTGGCTTGCTCACCGCTTGCTTGTTCCCTCCCTCTGTGCCGGCCGGCCACCTGCCCATCTGCCGCCTGGTGCCTGCTAGCTCTCTCACTCGCCCTCCCCTCCAACTTTCCATACCTTTATCGGAAACAGAATATAACGGCAGTTGCCAGGATCAATACTGTAATAGTTGCCAGGATACAGCGAAGTTTGCAAGTCTTACAGGGTACACAGAATTAATGTCTAAGACCAATTTTCCTGTCAAGCCTTCATGCTTCCTTGACTACCAAGGGAATGTACAGGGAAACACTCACTGCCTGAGGGAGTCATCGGTTTCTCAGGAAGTGGAAAGCCATGGACTACCTGTAAAACCCAGGACACATGCCTCTGAAGGCAGCTAGGTCAAGCCAACTCCATGGTTCCCTACATTAGATATTTTTACTTTGGGTGTGTATGTGCATTTTTAATGAATGTCCAATAATTCAAAATCAAGCATAGACAGCTGTGAATTCTGCTTGTGTGAAATGCGTGTTCCACAGGGCTAACATCTCTGCACTGCCCTTCCTCATGGCCTTTCTACTTTCCTCACATCACCTCATTAAGAAGGGCCAATAGCAAAGGACTTAAAGATTCCAGGCAAAAAATAAGTTATTTACAAATTTTTCCTCTATCCCAAATCTACCAGGTCTATGCCTAGAGCATGCAGTACCAAGGGATGCATGTGGACTGAGTTCTCAATGATCTGTCAGTGCTGCATGTTATAGCACATGCCTGTCATTTCAGCATTCTGGAGACTGAAGCAGGAGGATCGATTACGAATCTGAGACCAGCTTGGGCTTTTAGCTGGTTCCAGGCCATCCTGTTTTAAATAGTGAGACCCTGTCCTTAAGACAAGTGAGGGGCTGAGGTGTGACTCGGGGGTTAAGAGCACTGACTGATTGTTTGGAGGGCCAGAGCTCAACTCCCAACCTCCATGTCAGACTGCTTCCTCTGACGCTCCCTTCTGGCCTCCGAGGGTAGTTCCACTCATGTGCAAACAATTATGTGCACCCCCCCCACACACACACAGAATTAAAAACACTAAAAACAAATACTTGTAAAAATGAGTCATAAAAGATTCACAGAAATGGGAAATGGATTTGGTAGACTTAAGTTGTAAAGTGTGTCAAAGAAAGAATGTGTCTGGACTTGGCTTTGGGGTCGTTGAGAGGCAGAAAGGGAAGGACCAAAGAGGGAGAGATGAGGCCTGAAGAGATGGCTCAGCATTGAAGGGCACTTGTTGCTCTTTCAGAGGACCCAACCTTGGTTCCTAGCACTCATATCAAATGGCTCATAACCGAATGTGACTTCCACACAAAGGGGTCTTGTCAGACCTCTTCTGGCCCCTGTGGGTACCCATACACATATGCCATATACAGACACACACCATACATGCAAAATAGAATCTGAAAAAAAAGAGAGAGATGGAGGATTGTGGTGTATTTAAACAAGAGATGGTCACCACAATTGATTAGGGAGGATTTGTTTAGCAAAGTAACAAGAGAAACCTCCAAGCCTTGACTGGGAAGAGAGCAAGTGGAAGCTTGGTTTGTGGGCTTCATTGGTCAGGCTTCCTCTGGCCCTGGAGCCCAGGAGAGACGCCAAGAGTCCCGAGAGAGTGCCATTCAAGCAGTGTTCTCCAGGATTGGGGGCGGGCACAGGTTGGTGTTTACAAATGAACTAAGGTGAGGATGCAGAAGGCACATGGGTAAGAGGAACTTTTAAAGGGGGGAAGAAGGAAAATAAAGACCATTCTAGACGAGAGAAAGAGTTATTGACATGACTGACCATCCTTTGGGGACGCTAACTATGAAATGTCCGGCCCTCACGCTGCTCGAGTGTTTCCTCCCAGACTAGCCCGACTGCTGAGAAACGTGTCTGTGCAGGCCCGTGTGCGAAGCTGTGTCCTCTGGCAGTGGTGGGAAAGTGTTTCAGGATCAGGGAGTGGTCAGCCTCAAACTGGTGTTTGTCATGCCACACCTAATGAGAGAGTGAAAAGATCAGATGCAATAAAATGCAGAGAAAGGTGTGAAGTCAGCTTTCAGAAGACAAAACAAAAAGACCTCTGGGTTTGAGGAAATGGTGAGGCATTCACAGAAGAGGAAGCAGGGCTTTTCCTGGTCCCTGGTTCCAACTGCATGTGCTCGCTCTCTCTGTCTGTCCATTCTCCTACACACAGAGTCCTTGCCTCCTTCCCTCCTCATCAAACCACACACATTTCTCTACCTGCTTCTTGCCCTTCCTTCCCTCACTTAGACCCAATAGCAGAAACTGCAAGAGACACAGTTTCACTTCCAGCCTGGCAAGAAGCTGGAATCTCTCTCTGCAAGATCAGTTGCCAAAGGAACTGGTAAAGACAGAGATTTCATGGCTAAGAATGGGTGGGGAAGGAAACGGGAGCTGGAGGAAGGTGCTTTGTGCTTTGTTTATGTGGCTATCATGTGCCAGGTCCTGCGTGGGCAGAAAGAGACAGTAACAGTACTGTGTTACTGTTACTCTGTTACAGGGTAAGAAGACGTGAACCTTCATGAAGATTGTACCCCTCCAGTAAAAGCAGACAAAAGGAAAACTCTTGGTTCCAGCACCGTAGATTTAGCTCCTGCTTTGTTTTCTTCAGATGGGTAAATCAGTATTAAATGAAATGGAGGAGCTTTTGGTGTGGGTGTTCAGGCTTCTTAGCTGATTGCATCTTACTATATATTTCATTGATATCTGGAGCAGCCTTATACCTAAGGGGCCAGTGCTGAGAGCCACTGCCTTAATGAGAAGGCTCATCCCTCTATTCTCCCTGTTATCTTTTCTGCAGACAAGACTACAGCGCAGGTGAGATGGTCGTCTTTCTGCTGTTGCTTGGCCTCGGGTCGGTTCTTGCAACGCCCTCAGGAGGCATGATGGGGGGATCCCAGCAAACCTTTCTCAGGAAGAGCTGCAACCTGTTGCCAAACAGACGGCTCATCAACCAACGAACTCAGCCCTGTCAGATAAAAACATCAGCCTCAGCGTACCCAAGAATGTGATGCCTGCCACACCCCCAACATCCAGAAGGTCTTATTTTGTCATCCTCAAGGGACACACTTTGAGTAAAGATCAAAACTGTCTAAATGGGCTGAGAGTCTTGAGAAAAGCTTTAGACATGAATGAGTTATGCCTGTTGGGCAATAGCTTCACACATGGCTCCACCGATATGGTACACCAGCTGGAAATGTGGACAAGCTCCCAGCCTAAGCTGTTGTGAGAGCCTAGGACTGGAACATAGCATGTGCAAGATCACTGCAGGCCAGCAGTGCCCCAGGTGCCAGGAGTACGGTGCCACCTCATTAAAGAGAATCTTGACAGTGCTGACCAGCCATTCTCTGATGAGTTGGTTAGTTAGTGGCTCTAAATTGTAAACCACAGGGCTTTGAGGAAAAAGAAGGACAAGTTCACAGTCATTGTTGCTCCCACTTTCTGCTACACGTCTGTCCCTTAGGGGAGAAAAAAGCCCAATACAGCGCAAACCAATTAAAAACCGTAACTGATCCTAGAACCCAGATTCAAATTCTCGCTCTTGCTCTCACCCTCTCTCCCACAAACTGGATTCCTTCCTTGTCTGGCTCTAACACTGCTCAAAGGTAAGGAGAGAAACTCCAAGCCAGACAGTGAATGAGGGTGAGACAGAGGCTCTGCGCTGCCCTTTAAAGAAGTGTGAGCACGTGTGTGAGCCTGAGTGCAGCTGCCTCCCAGCACGTGGGTTGCCGGTGCTCTAGACCGGCTCAGCGCCACAGCTCCGTCCTTGTACAGTCTGCTCCAGGATCTCCTTCTCAGTACAATCTGCATTCCAGCTCCGGGATTTCCTTCTCAGTACAGTCTGCATTCCAGCTCCAGAATCTCCTTCTCAGTACAGTCTGCATTCCAGCTCCGGGATTTCCTTCTCAGTACAGTCTGCATTCCAGCTCCAGAATCTCCTTCTCAGTACAGTCTGCATTCCAGCTCCAGGATCTCCTTCTCAG